CAGCCAGCCCCAGCGACCACCTCATCCTAAGAAAGTGCTTCTGTGCAAACTTTAACAGAAATTATCTCTACTTCTTACTGGTGCAATCCTAATTTAGAGTTAACTCTCAAGCCCTGAGTAGTTATGGGACACCCATGCAGCTGGCTGCCACTGCCTAGTGCCTCATCAGCAACTCTGAACACTACAGGACTCAAATGTGAAGGATAGAAAGGAGAATAAAGAACAGGAAAGATACATTTCCTGTGCCCCTGGCTTGTGTTTGTTCTCAGTTTACTTACATACCCATGCATTATTACATAGTGAGTGATTCTTGAGAAGACAGATTTAGCCTATGGACTAAATTCTTGAGAGTGTTATTGTAGATTCCAGGACTTAACCATTTACATAAAGAAAAGCAATTTATATGTCAAGAATTTCCGTGCTTATAAGTCAGGGATAACTAATGTTATAATATATCACAGTAGCACAATCCTAAAATATACTATGCTTAGGTGTGTGCCTCTGACTATGGAGTGCTTAGTGCAATCCTAAACGCAAGCAGGCAAACCCCCTAACATTCAGGGTGGAAGAACAGAGGGCGGACATGCACGCTCTGTCATTTGGAGGCTGAGATTCAGATAACATGTAGAAATGGGAGAAAAGACACATCTGTCACGTCTTCCAAACTGAGCTGAGGACATCTGCAGTTACTGCCACCATCTCACTCTAGTACAACGGGAAAAACAGATGTAAAAATAGAAGTGATATATTCAACTATTAACAGTGAGGCAAAACTGAATATAGCAGTCTGCAGAAGCACTGACGTAGAACGGGAAGTGGCTTCTTCTAGGGCAGGCTGTCTGCCTCGAGTGGACAACACGCCAACAAACTAAAGATGTTTCCACTATCCATGTCACCCCTGACTTTTTAATAAGGGATTAGGAGGAAGAGAAAAGCGAGAAGGTTACATACCGACTGAGAGCAAGTAATACCCTCCTCACAGAAAAGTGAAAGAGCTCATTTGTTCAGAAGAAAATGCCTCCCTGGGAGCTTCTCACTCGCCACGTGAATTATCTTCTCTTTATCAGATTTACGAAGAGGCTGCACAGCTGTGTGCAGAACAGGTAAGGGTTTTAATAATGAAAGTGCTGGATGAGAGGACGAAGATAGCATAAAAAAGATGAGGAAGATTCTAGACCCAGAAAATCACTACCCTGGTTCCTGTCAGTGTCACTGCTGCTCCACCTGGGGGATGCCGAGAGTCCACTCACGTATATTCAGTAGGGCAATTCAGTGGAGAGTCTTTATCACGAATATCCATTCATGACTGAATTGCTTAGGTGGAGCTTTTTTGTTGTTGTTTGAAATATAATTCATGCATCATAAAATTCACTCTTTAAAAGGGTATGCTTTAGTGTTCTTTAGTATTATCCACAAGCTTGTCCAACTATTACCACTGATGCCAGAACATTCTCACCACCCCAAAGAGGAACTCCATACTCATCAGTGGTCACTCTCCATCCCCTCCCAGCAACCATAAGTTGACTTCCTGTCTCTATGGATTTATAATACCTATTCTGGATATTTCATAGAAATAAAATCATAATATGTGACCTCTTACGCCTGGCTTCTTTTACTTAGTAGTATGTTTTCAAGGTGCATCCATGTCACAGCATGAATCAGTACTTCATTCCTTTTAAAAAATAATTATTTAACAATTTACCTATTTTAACATAAATAACTCGGGGCATTTAGTATCCTCACAATGTCGTATAATCATCAACCTCTTATCTAGTTTCAAACCATTTCCATTACTCTAAAGTAAAACTCCTTACCCATTAGGCAGTTTCTCCCCATTCCTCCTCCCCTTAGTCCCTGGCAACCACCCATCTATGCTCTATATCTATGGATCGATCTACTCTGAATATTTCATTTAAATGGAATCACATAATATATAATCCTTTGTATCTAGCTTCTTTCACTTAGCATAATGCTTTGGAGCTTCATCCATGTTGTTGTATGTATCAGTATTCTTTTTAATGGCTGAATAATTTTCCATTGTATGGATATACTACAATTTGTTTATCCATCATCTGCTGATAAATATTGGGTTCTTTCCAATTTTTGGCTATTATGAATAATGCTGCTATGAACATTCACATACAAGTTTTTGTGGACTCATGTAAGGTTTAAGTATAAATGCCCAATCTCTCTCCATTCCCATTTTCATAAGGCAAATACTTTAAATTCTTTTAGTGATTTCTTCTGGTAATTATCTGATGTTTCTGGCAATAAACTTATACTGCTTTTAGAAAACCAGCTTTAGGGTTGCACATGGTGGCTCACTGCCTATAATCCCAGCACTCTAGGAGGCTGAGGTGGGCGGACTGCTTGAGCCCAGAAGTTTGAGACCATCTTGGGACATGTGGTGAAACCCTGTCTCTACTAAAAATATAAAAATTAGCCAGGCACGGTAGCGTGTACCTGTAGTCCCAGACACTTAGGAGACTGAGGTAGGATGATCACCTGAGCCTGGGAGGCAAAGGTTGCAGTGAGCCAAGATAGAGCCACTGCACTCCAGTCTAGGCAACAGAGTGAGAACCTGTCTCGAAAAAAAAAAAAAAAGTCAATTTTAGATATTATCTCTTAAGTTCCAATTATGGAAGACGAGCGTTTAGTTTTATGTCCCCCCATGTGCAAATGCACACTCACTTTATCCTCCTATCTTCACAATATTATTCTAATCTCCATTTTTGGTTAAATCTAGAATTGGCATTTACACTGTTATGACTATGCATTTATAGCATTTATAGCCACGTCATGTACAAAGATTATATTCACTTCATCATACTTTTTCCCCTTAGGTTCTAGATGACCTAGAAGGGAAAATTTGCTTTACTTAAACATTTTCCTCAGTTTCCTATATACTAATTCATCTTCAAATTCTGCAAGAAAATGAAAAATCTCTAGATATATTAAAACACACTAGACATTCTACTGTTTTCTTGTCAGCATCCACTTCCCTATCTTCTGATAAGAGTGATTTGAATCTGAAACCAGGGACAGGGACATGACATGAGGCACAGTGTGGGCAGGGAGTGGACCCACCTGAGCTCACAGCCCACTATGAGGAGGGCAGAGCTGACAGGGAGGGAGCCAGCGAGCACGTGACCTGACTTGCCTGGATGACACCGTTCAACTTCTGCATTCTGCCATATCTTTACACTTTGCAATTATATGCAACAAATAAATCCTTTTTCCTGCATAAGCCTGAGTTGTGCTTCTGGTGCTTACAATCCAAAGGGGTAGTAACTAACATGGACACCGAGAATAGGGGCTGAGCCACTTCTGTGCATCTATGTAGGTCTTTGAGGAACTCTCATTTCACTTTTAGCAGGAGATGCATAGAGTCTTTTCACTTTAGGTCAGGACTTAAAGTAGTGTTAGTCTAATGGAGGATCGATTTCAGAACTAAGGACCCCCTCAAATACAGGTTCTTGTCCTTGACAAACAGAAAATAAACTAATAGTTTCAGAAATGACTAAATATGAAGACAATAGCAACACCAAGCACACTTTATCAAATACCTGGTAAAGCAATTTTGAAAGGCAACCAGGATGTTAATTTCATGTCACATAACCATTTCTTGCACTTGAATATTTTTCAAAGTATATTCACATCCAAAACTTCATCAGATCCCCTCAGCCTTCTTTTTTCATAATGACCCACATTTTGAAGTCACTTTTAAGCATAAAAACAAACCAAAATATATTTTTGAATAATTTTCTATCAGTTTCTTATAAATAAAAACCCTAAAATGTTTATTCTTCCTCAAGTCTAGTTTACTTACTTTTCTAGTCCGCTCTCCTGAATTCTTTTTTTTTTTTTTTTTTTTTGAGACGGGGTCTTGCTCTGTCACCAGGCTAGAGTGCAGTGGTGCAATCTCGGCTCACTGCAACCTCCGCCTCCTGGGTTCAAGTGATTCTCCTGCCTCAGCCTCCCAAGTAGCTGGGACTATAGGTGTGCACCACCATGCCCAGCTAAGTTTTGTATTTTTAGTAAAGACGGGGTTTCACCATGTTGGCCAGGATGTTCTCAATCTCTTGACCTCGTGATCCGCCCACCTCAGACTCCCAAAGTGCTGGGATTACAGGCATGAAGTGGCGCCCGGCAAGCTCTTCTGAATTCTAACAATAAACAAACAATTTGTGTTTCCCTAGCTTTAGGGGAACCATGAGTCTTTTTTCTAACTTGTTTCCTTTTCATTCCTACTCTGTAGCCATGGCTTGTTCACCTAGCACACTGGTCCTTAGCACAGTACCTTATACAAAACATGTCTGTGTGGAGTCCATATGCCTAGTTTCGAATCTCCAGCTCTGTTACCTACCAGCAATGTGATCCTGTATAAGTTTCTTCATCTGCAAAATGGAAATAATACCTGTCCCACAGAATTGTTTAAAGATTAAATGAGATGTATGCAAAAGAGACGCGGCAAGGATGCAGTAAATGTTTGCTGCTAGAATTTGTTGGTTAAAAGAATGATCTCTGCTTAACCAGTGCTCCTTGCTGCTCATTTCACATGAGAAGCTTGTAAGACACAGCTACTTGTTCACTGTCTAGAATCTAAGCCCTACAAGGGCAGAGACTTTGCCTTATTTATTGCTATATCCCCAGCAACTATCATATATCTGGGACATAATAGGTATTCCACAAATCCCTATTTGTTGAATGAATGACTGGATAAATGAATGAATATAGGTAATACAGGTATAATTTTACTGCTATTCTGATTTTATGAATGAGGAAACAACATCTCAGAGAGGTCAAGTTGCTTGCATAAAGTCCCACAGAGAGTTAGAGAGGGATTAAAACACAGTTCCCCAGCCTGGTTGTTCTTCTCTTTCACCATATCACTTACTAGGCCTTTATTTCATTATCCAAAAATTCAGGTGCGGCATCTAATTAGCTACTAAGTAACAATTTTCAAGGGCTAAACATGATTCTCAAATTTTAAAACTTACCGTGGTATCCACAGCCTTGACTTTCTCTGTGGGAATGTGCTTTGGTTCAGGTTCTGTCTGTGACAGCACCACACATCCCTCAGCCCCTAAGGTAATGATTACCACCTGGCAGCCCCTTTTCAAGAGCACTAAAGCAGCCTCCCCAGCATCTGCAGCGCTGTCCACTGTGAGGCCAGTTAAAATCTCAGCCTGGAATACACAAAAGTCAACAGAAACAGTGGTGAAAATAAGTAACCCGGATCCACTTCCAGATTTGTTTTTCTAGAAAATGTCTCCCTTCTTTTTTGTAATAACCAATGCAATGGGAACCTTGATGGATACTGGTACAGGAAAATAAAGCAATAACAGTGATGACAAAAACAACCTATAAAAGACATTTCAAGCAGTAACAGTGATGACAAAAACAATCTATAAAAGACATTCTTGGGACGACTGGGGAAATTTGAATGTGGCTTGGATATTAGATGATAGTATGGAATTACTGACAATCTTCTTAGGTGTAATAATGGTACTGTGGTTCCTCTTAGGAGATGTATGCCGAAGTATTTGGGGTGAGGTATCATGTTGTCTGCAACTTATTCTCAACAACAAAATACTTTTTTTCACTTAGTTTCAACAAAAACAAAACTAAGTACACACAGGGAAGAGGAAAAGCAAATATAGCAAAATGTTAACAAATGTTTAGGTGAAAGGTAGTTGTTCATTCAGCTTTTCTGCACATATAATAATTTTAACAAAGAGTTAGGGGCAACAAAGGGAATTCTATCAAAAAAAAAAAAAAAAAAAAGAGGGTTGGAGGAGAGGCAGGAAAGGAGAAAGGAAAGGGCCACTGCCAATGATTTTGGTATAAATTGCACCTGTAAGTTTGGCACCTAAGGACATAATTCTTCCAAGCCTCTCTTGGGCCATAACCCCTCTTCTCAAATTTCCAATTTTTGCTTTCCATGTTTGCAGACTACTCGTTTCTTTTGTTTTTGCCAGAGAAGATGGAAGCAGATTAGGAGAGGTACTGACAGGTAGCAGAAAAAGCAACGCCCTGGCATTCAGGAGACCCCTCCTACTCACTCAGTCTGTGACCTTCCCCACATCAATTATGATCTGTAAAATGAGGGAGCTCAACAAGATCCATATTTTTCTCCCAATTTCTCTTTCAATGTACTAATTTTTTATTCCATTCTAATGCTTATTTTTCTACCGAGTGATTTAAAAACATTTCCATGACTATTTAGGTTTTCACGACTTCTAATTGGTTGTTTTTCATATTCGCATGTTGTTGCTTCAATTCTGTGTTTCTTTCACAAAGTTTTTTCTTCTTTCATAATGAATGTTAATCTTAATTACACTATTTTAAAGTATTTTTTGCCTTGTTTATTTATTTAGAGACAGTATCTTGCTCTATTACTCCAGCTGGAGTGCTGTGGCATGATCATAGCTCACTCCAGCCTCAAACTCTTGAGCTCACGCAATCCTTTTGCCTCAGCCTCCCACATACTGGGACTCTAGGCATGCCCTACCACACACAGCTCATCTTTTATTTTTGTAGAGACAGGATGAGGTCTCATTATGTTCCCCAGGCTGGTCTCAAACTCCTGGGTTCATGTGATTCAACTGCCTTGGCCTCCCAAAGCACTGGGATTACAGGTATGAGCCATGGCGCCTGGCTGAGTTTTATTATATGAATTTCATCTTGGGCAAATTCATCTGTAGGTTGTTGATTGTGCTGTGTGAACTTCATAGCATTATGTTTTTCATTTGCAGGCTCACTTTGTTCACTGTGAGTTGGAAAGCTGTCACACCTCAGCTCCTACCTGGTTGATGCCTGCTTTTCAGTGTTTTTTGTTTTGTTTTGTTTTGTTTTTGTTTTGAGACAAGCGTCTTGCTCTGTCATCCAGGCTGAAGTGCAGTGGGGAGATCTCAGCTCACTACAACCTCTGCCTCCCGGGTTCACGCGATTCTCCTGCTTCAGCCTCCTGAGTAGCTGGGACTATAGGCGCATACCATCACACTCGGCTAATTTTTGTACTTTTAGTAGAGATGAGGTTTCACCATGTTGGCCAGGATGGTCTCGATCTCCTGACCTCGTGATCCACCCGCCTCAGCCTCCCAAAGTGCTGGGATTACAGGCGTGAGCCACCGTGCCTGGCCCTCAGTGGTTTTATAGTAGCTTCCACCAGGCACATAAGAGTCTCTAAACCAGAACCAGGTATTATATTGGCAATAGGGAGTTCTTGCTCTGCTGTTTCTGGAGCTACTGCCAGTCCAGTCACTAAGTCAGTGGTTGGCTTGGTTTACTTCTTGGTCAGAGGCTGTGTCTCTGTCCTGCTAGCTCCTCAGGTTGGGAGCCTTAAATATGCTTCAGGCAGCAGGGGTAGCAGGTTCCTCCACCTTTTACTGTTAGCAGGGGAGCCACAGCCTAGCACGTATGGTTTCCATCCGTGGGCTCAGCTCCAGCCACCTATAAGTGGCACACTTTTAGTGCCCATGACCCACAGTGGGTGAACTTCCTACCACCTCTGCCTGTTTCTGGGGTTGGTGTACAGCCAGCATATCAAGGGCTGAATGCTCTGTGAGGCTGTTCCATTTCTGATCTGTGGAGTTATTTATCTTGTTTTAGAGCTTGTGAGTATCTTTTCATTGTCTCCATTAATATTTACATATCAATGGTTTGTGTTTGGAGCAGAGTATCATAAGCAAGAATTTACATTATTGCTGTGATTAGAGTTCATCAATAAGAACATTAAACTTTTTTTGTTTTGAGACAGAGTCTCTCTGTAGCCCAGACTAAAGTGGAGTGGCGCGATCTTGGCTCTTGCAACCTTCGCCTCCTAGGTTGTGGTTCAAGCAATTCTCCTGCCTCAGCCTCCTCAGTAACTGGGATTACAGGCATGTGCCACCATGCCCAGCTAATTTTTGTATTTTTAGTAGAGATGGGGTTTCACCATGTTGGCCAGGCTGGTCTTGAGCTCCTGACCTCATGATCTGCCCACCTCGGCCTCCCAAAGTGCTGGGATTACAGGCGTGAGCCACTGTGCCTGGCCCCAGAACATTAAGCTTTTAATGTTTTTCTTTCTTCCATTAAGTTTCTGAGACCAATTTCCTTAAACACCAGAGTTCTTTCATTTATTTATTTCATAAGCATTTACTAAGTGCCAGCTATGTGCAGGTACAGTGTAGCAGATGTTATTTTCCAAAGATAACTGTATTAACCTATATCATATCACAAATCCTGGTTTTACACTGTGCCAATGACAATCTTCTAGGAAGGGGTGGGGTACTAGGGTGGACTTTCCTGCTTAAATCAATAGAATGAGTCAGGAGTGATGCCATGTTACTTCCGAAGCTAACTCACAAAAGCCAATATGGCTTCTGTCAGGTGTCTCCTTCTCTCGGGAAGCTGGATCTTGAAACCCAGCTACCATATTATGAGGAAGCCCAAGTCACACATAGAGGCCATGTTTACGTGTTCCGGCCAACAACCTCATTATGCCCCTAGCCGAAAGCCAGCATCAACTGTCAAGCATGTGAGTGAAGAAAACTTCCAGCTTTCAGACTTTGTGTCTTCCAACTGAAGCCTGGGGTATTGTGCAGGAGAGTCAAATCATGCTATCCCCTGTGTGAAGTCCTGACACACAAAAACTGGGAGTGACAATACATAATTATTGCTGTTGTAAGCCAGTACATTTTGGAGGTAGTTTATTATGCAGCAATAGATAACTATATATACAGGGATAGCCATCAGGGATACAACAGTGAATAAGACAGATGCCTCTGACCTCATAGAACTTGTAATTTAATGGAGAAGACAGAAGAAATGAATAAGTAATCTGAGGTGTGATGAGCATTTGAGTAATAAATAGAGTGCTCTTCAAGTATCTAGCAGGAAAATTTAGGCCAGTTTGGCAGTTGAGGGTACTCTAACCTCTTATTGTGAAATGGTCACTATTTCCCACAATTCCTTCTTCCTAGCATGGTGGTTGCTCAAAAATATTGCATAACCTATTGTGGTTTGTTAAAATTAGTTTCCTTGTAGCAGTCTTCTTTCTTGTTTCCTCTATGTTTTGAGAGATGAAATTATCAAGAAAGCAGGTCAAGAAATCCTAAAAGCCTTCATTCAGCCTTTAAACCAAATGGAAAATTAGGCTGGGTGCAGTGGCTCATGCTTGTAATCCCAGTACTTTGGGAGGCTGAGGCAGGAGGAATGATTTAGCCCAGGAGTTTGAGAATAGTCTAGGCAACATGGCAAAATCACGTCTCTACACAAAATTAAAAAAAAAATAAAAAAGCATGGTGGTCCCAGCAACTTGGGAGGTTGAGGCAGGTGGACTGCTTAAACCTGGGAGGTAGAGGCTGCAGTGAGCCATGATGACACCACCGCATTCCAACCTGGGTGACACAGTGAGTTCCTGTCTCAAAAACAAAAAGTGGAAATTTAACTATTATGGTTCATTAATTTCTTTCTCTCCATGTTGCATTCACCAATGTGTACACCTGCATCCCACTGACAGGCAAGAGCTCTGTTCTAATGCTGTCTGGCGTATAAAAAAGGAGAAATATTGAAATTTTCTTCCTAACAATATTCAAGAAAGGGTGGTACAATATCCTTTCTTATTGTACCAGTTGATAGATAGTCTGTTCAGATGATACATCAGGAGACAGGGTCTTTGCTACAGGATGTAGCAGATTCTCCAGAAGTTGTACACTAATTAGGGTTGCCAGATAAAATATAGGAAGCTCAGTTAAATTTGAATTTAAGATAAATAACAGGTAATTTTACAGTATAAACTTATTAGGTATGTTATTTATTATCCATCTGAAATTCAAATTTAACTGGACATCCTGCATTTTTACTTGCTAAACCTGGCAACTTTAATATAGTCCTCAGAATATGAAATAATTAGAAAACAAAACACCAGTAGTGTGAGGGCAAGGAACGGACTAAAATTAACTGAGGTTTGATAAGTGCCAGAATATGGAAGTGACTCAGAGAATCCTTTATTCCCCCCTAGGATTTACTGATTTCCTTTTCTCCACACCCCAGTAAACTGAAAAAATCCGTTTTCACCATGCCTGAGAATTCACGTCATCAAATTGATGTGGTTAGTTCCGCCCCTTTGCTTTATCCACTTGCATGAACTTTTGGTTTCTCACAGAACGAGCAAAGCAATTCACCCTTACCTCACTTTCATTGCAGCAGAACACATCTGAGAGGGTGTAGAACCGGGGATCCAGGTCAGCAATGGCAGGGGCTGGATTGAACAATGTTTTCACTACAAAGGAATGGAAAAGGGGGTGATTATTAGTTTTCATTTTTAACACAGTGCATTTACAGACATTCAGTAGGGAAAATCCCTGAGTTCATTTTTGTCTTCATCTGGTTAAATATCCACTTAGTTACGGATGTAGAGAAAAGTCTGAAATCTCAATCTCCACGACAGCTGGGTACCAATTCCCTATTTCGATTTTCTCTACTTTGCACTTTACAACATTTCAGCTTCCAGGGAAAACAGCAATATTATAGTCAACGTGATTGTAGAGTTAAGGCAAAGGCAACAAGAACATTAGAGAAAAGTAAAAATGCTGTGGCATGAAAGTACATGTGTGAATGTGAACAGGCTGGTGGACATTTTCGTGGGTTACTTTAAGGGTTGGTTTCAAGGCTAGTTCATAAATCCATTTTCCAGGGAAGAAAAGGAGATGATAGGAAATAAACAATGAAAGGTTCAGAATTTTCCTGGTGGGAACAGTAAGCAGGAAGCTCATGTGCATATGCATATTTTATACACCTATGTATGCCTCCCAAATATATCACAATTACTCCTGCAAACATATGCACTTACACAAAAGCTGACATTCTTGGCTTCTGTGAGCAATCTGGGAATATAAAAAAAAAGATTGAGAAAGGAGGAGGAATTCAATGAAAGGCTGGTGCTAGCTCACACTGAGAGGCTACAAGAGAAGGATAGATGGGAATAGCAGACACAGGGAAATGAGAATATCATGGTCATTTTTCAGAGGGAGGAAAATGAGGCTCAGAAAGATGAGGTCATACGTCTCAGGTTATACACTGGGACACAGTGAAGATGGACCCCTACTCAGGGTCCTCTGGCTTTAAGTTCAGAGTTTGGTCCACTCTAAAAAAAGCGGCTCTCTAGGCCAGGACTCTGTCCACACCTACACATGCCTCAGTGACAATTCACAATATTTTAAAACACCCTTTGGTTTGGGACTTTGTAAATGTAGATATGTATATTTTAAGTCTTTAGAAATTACATTCATAGGAAGCTCCTTCTTTGTCAAAGCACTTATTCACTTGAGTACTCAACTAGATTGGTTAGTCTTCTTTTTCTCAACACAGGTCCACTGACTTGCATGTTGTCTCATTTGACCATAGACCCATAGTGTAAAAATCTCTAGCTGCAGTTCTCAGAAACTTCAAGAACAGTGGTTTGCAAACTTGGTTGCATATCAGCATCACCAGGAGAGCTTGTGAAAATGCCTAATTTCTAGGACTGACCTCAAACCCACTGAATCAGAATCTCTGGGGGTAACATCAGGGAATCTGCATGTTTACAAGTTCTCCAGGAGGCTCTCACATAGCCAGCTTGGCACTAATCCATTCCACATTCTTGGGAACATGCTAATCAGCACGTGGCTAATGAAAACTGTCTACTACTTCAGCCTGGTGAGGACATCTAGTCTACTTCTGCACCTTCCTTGGTCTTACCTAACATTTTAAGCATTTTGATTCAGTCAGTGGGTCTTGTCCAGTATCGGTTAACACTATTCCCACATTTTTGTTACTTTAGAATCCAGAATGTCCACCCACAGAAATTCTATATTTTTGGCTGCTCAGATTTTTGTATAGAGTTATTGTGCAGCTTAAATTAGAAAACGGATGTAAAAGCCTAGTGTAAACTCTAATCTGATGTACAAATGTAAAGGATTATTACTGTTATTATATTGTCCTTTACAGATAGCCCAACACCCCCGCCTGTCCACCCATCTCTTCTGCCTTCTGCTGGAGTTTGTAGCCTGGTAACAGTCTCTCTCATTGGTTCTCTCACTTCTGAGAGGTCTTAGAGATGTCAATTACACATAAAGACTCTCATTGTCCCGTATTCTAACACATCACTTAAACTTTTTAGGTTTTCAGAACAATATACTGTTCCCAATTTTCCTCAAGCATTAAGTGGAAACAACTGCTCGCCTAGCACATGCATCAGCATTTGAGCACAGATTAGAGTAAGCTACAAGTGTGGAACAACATGGTAGAGCCATTCTTAAAGGATCATTTTTTTCCCTCAAACGATGCCTGATCCTGCAATTCCTTTTCTAAACCCATCCTATAGAAATCCATAAGCATACAAAGATGATATACAATGTTTTTTGTATAGCCCTATTTGCAATAGAAAACACAAAAAGAAACCAACGCATTTATTAAAGGGGATTAGTTTAAAAAATTATGACATAGGCTGGGCTTGGTAGCTCACGCCTGTAATCCCAGCAATTTGGGAAGCTGAGGCGGGTGGATCACCTGAGGTCAGGAGTTTGAGACCAGCCTGACCAACAGGGTGAAACTCTGTCTTCACTAAAAGTACAAAAATTAGCCGGGCATGGTGGTGCATGACTGTAATCCCAGCTACTCTAGAGGCTGGGGCAGGAGAATCACTTGAATCCGGGAGGCGGAGGCTGCAGTGAGCTGAGATCGCGTCACTGCACTCCAGCCTGGGCAACAAGAGTGAAACTCTGTCTCAAAAAAAAAAAAAAAAAAAAAAGAATTATGACACATGCCTGATGTAAATCACTACAGTTGTTAAAAAGAGTAAAGTAGATCTCCGTTTGTCAAAAAAAGACTTCTGTAAATTACTTATAAGTGAACAAGGCAGTTTTGTACTACCCATCCCCAACTTTTTGAGATGGCTCTGTCACCCAGGCTGGAGTATAGTGGTGCAATCTTGGCTCACTGCAACCTCCACTTCCCAGACTCAAGTGATCCTCCCACCTTAGCCTCCCAAGAAGATGGGACTACTGTGCCCGTCACCACGCATGGGCAATTTTTTTCTTTTTCTTTTTCTTTTTTTTCTTTTTGTGGTAGAGATGAGGTTTTGCCATGTTGCCTAGGCTGTTCTTGAATTCCTGGACTCAAGCGATCCTCACACTTTGGCCTCTTAAAGTGCTAAGATGACAGGTGTGAGCCACCATGCCCAGCCTACTCTCCCTTTTTAATAAGAACAAATAACAAACTCACATAACTATATGTGTATTTACATTTATACACTTACACAGAAGAAAAAAATGTCGGAGAGGTTTCTCACTAAACTAATGAGCCATTAGTCATAAAAAACTGATGGGACTAAATTTGACTACAGGTTAAGTGCTATATGTAGCAAAGACAACACTCTTAAAACATACAGTATCTGGCCCGGCGTGGTGACTCACGCATGTAATCCCAGCACTTTGGGAGGCTGAGTTAGGCAGAACACAAGGTCAAGAGATCAAGGCCATCCTGGCCAACATGGTGAAACCCTGTCTCTACTAAAAATACAAAAATTAGCTGGGTGTGGTGGCACATGCCTGTAGTCCCAGCTACTCAGGAGGCTGAGACAGGAGAATCGCTTGAACCTGGGAGAAGGAGGGTGCGGTGAGCTGAGATCACACCACTGCACTCCAGCCTGGTGACAGAGTGAGACTCTATCTCAAAAAACAAAAACAAAAACAAAAACAAAAAAATAGTACCTTACATCAAAAAACAGGTATACTAAAAATGAAATGTAACATCTGGGTTTTGCTTCAACATAATCCAAGGTGGCAGTGCGGGGTAGGGAGCCATGAGGCAGGATACAGATAAAACAAGATTGGCCACGTGCGACAAAAACAAGCAACAGGGAAAAGATTCCCTATTTAATAAATGATGCTGGAATACTGGCTAGCCATATGCAGAAGAAAGAAACTAGACCTTTATCTTTCACCATATACAAAAATTAACTCAAGATGGATTAAATATTTTAAATGTAAGACCTCAAACTATAAAAATCCTAGAAGAAAACTTAGAAAACACCCTTTTTGACACTGACATTGGCAAAGAATTTTTGGCTAAGTCCCCCAAAGCAACTGTAACAAAAACAAAAATTGACAAGTGGGACTTAATTAAACTAAACAGCTTCTGAATATAGCAAAAGAAATGGTCAATAGAGTAAACAGAAAACCTAGAGAATGGGAGAAAATATTTGCAAACTATGCATCTGACAAAGGTCTAATATGCAGAATCTATAAGGAACTTACATAAATCGACAAGCAAAAAATAACTCCATTAAAAAATGGGCAAAGGACATGAACAGACATTTCTCAAAAGAAGACATATGAGTGGGCCAACAAACATATGAAAAACTACTCATCATTTCACTCATCATCAGAGAAACGCAAATCAAACTATAATGAGACACCATCTCCCACCAATCAAAACAGCTATTATTAAAAAGTCAAGGGTTGGCCGTGGTGGCTCACACCTGTAATCCTAGCACTTTGGGAGGCCAAGGCGGGCAGACCACGAGGTCAGGAGATTGAGACCATTCTGATTAACACGGTGAAACCCCGTATCTACTAAAAATACAAAAATATTACCCGGGCATGGTGGCAGGTGCCTGTAGTCCCAGCTACTTGGGAGGCTGAGGCAGGAGAATGGTGTGAATCCAGGAGATGGAGCTTGCAGTTAGCCGAGATTGCGCCACTGCACTACAGCCTGGGTGATAGAGCGAGACTCCATCTCAAAAAAAAAAAAAAAAAAAAATTCAAAACACAACAGATGCTGGTGAGGCTGCAGAGAGAAGGAAACACTTATACACTGTTGGCAGGAATGTAACTTAGTTCAGCCACGTAGAAAGCAGTTTGGAGATTGATTTTCAAAGAACTTAAAATAGAGCTACCATTTGATCCAGCAATCCTATGCCTGGGTACACACCCAAAGGAAAACAGATCATTATACCAAAAAGAAACATGTACTTGTATGTTCATCACCATGCTAGTCACAATAGCAAAGACATGGAATCAACCTAGGTGCCCATCAATGGTAGACTGGATAAAGACAATGTGGTACATATACACATGGAATACTATGTAGCCATAAAAAAGAATGAAATCATGTCCTTGGCAGCAACATGGATGGAGCTGGAGGCCATAATCCTAATCAAATTAAAACAGGAACACAAAACCAAATACCACATGTATTCACTTATAAGTGGGAGCTAAATATTGAGTATGCATGGACAGA